TTGATTATCTAATAATTTTCATAAATCTGCTAATAGGATTCAACAATTTAATTTGGTATTGAATATTTGATTTGATTTGATCAAATTTAAATCAAATATTCAAATATTGATTTGATTTGATCAAATTTAAATCAAGTATTCAAATATTTAATTTGATTCGAATCAATAGTAAAGCTATTTCTAAAGCTTCAAAAGTGGTATTTATTAAGAAAACTATAGTAAAAAGCATCTCTGTTGCTTCAAAATACCTTTTTTTACTGTGAAAACTATAGTAAAAAATGGTTATATAGCTTTAAAGACATTTTTTTACTCTTTGAAATATTTTTTATTAATACAATAGTTCTAAAGCTGCATAACAATTATTACTAAGTTTTCTTAGTAAAACTGAAGCTAAAATGGTAGTTATTACTAAGTTTTCTTAGTAAAACTGAAACTGTGAAGTTGTTTTACTAAATTTTTTTTAGCCTGTTACTAAACTTACTTTATAAAACTATCTTTGAAATTTTTTAGTGCATATTACTAATTAAAATAAAGTTATTCTAAAATTTTAATATAACATTGTAAAAATCAAAAAAATTTTTTTATATTTGATTTAATTCAATAAATATTTAATTCAATTTGATTCAATTCAATCAAATTCAAATTGATTCAAATTAATTTAATCAAATATTAAATCCAATTTGATTTTGAAGAATCTATAAAAGAGGTATTTTCTTATTTAAAAAAATTAAAACTACATTATGATGACTAAAAAAAGAAATATGACTATATAGGAAGTGATTTTAGATAGGTTGACTATATATAATTCATTTGAAAATGCATAGAATTTCCTTATAATGCAAAATTTCTTTATATAATAAAACTCATTGGAATTCTTAGTTTCAGATGGTAAATTACATAAAAGATCATATTATCTATTAGCCTTCTTTTTTAAAGAAGAATTTGATAATAACAAATAACATAATACATTAGCAGCTATTAATTCTTGCTTACAAAATGACTGAGAATTAGGAATTATGACTATTTATCTTAATTTCATTTCTTCTTATGCTAACAAGATCTTGATTTTTTTCAGCAATTAAAAAACTTTTTTTCATTTTGTTTAATTACAACTTTACCTCTTATATCAAAATTCAAATAATTTTGGATCTTCTTTGAAAAACTTAATTATTCAACTTCAATTCAATATAAATGAAATTTACTCTATTTTTCAAGTGGCATTTGAAGCAGCTTACAAAAAATTTGCCACACATATTTCTAATCATCCAGCTCAGCCACTTTTTCATGCATGTCAAATTGTTTGATCCTAAGTATATATATGCTGAAAATTTTTACGAAAGAATATTTGACAATATAGTATTATTAAAGAATTTAATAATCCATCAGATGAATTGTTACAGGTTGGAATTAGATCAATACATTTGCCTAATATTACTTTAGATTAATTACATTTGGCTGCAGGTATCAAGTTGTACTATTGAACGAAATTTTTCTATATACAATTCTCTTTTAGATAATGATCGTCAAAACTTAAGATTCTTTTAAAAAATTAAATATGATGTATTTAGGAGTTATTACTTAAAATTACTTATGATAAAAAATAAATTTGACAAACGTAAATAATAAAAATAGCAAAATAATATCATATAACTTGAAATTTTTTAAAAAAAATTTACATAATTTGTTTATAGCACATAAATAATTTATGTTTTATGACATCATAAAATCATCATCCATCAAAAAATTGCTGACCAGATATTTTAAAACACCTAAATACTCTCGAAGGTTACAACTTGATATATTGATCCAGAATATAGTTTCACAATTGAAGTTTAAGGAGAACAACACGAAAAATATATAGAATTCTTTCATAGAGGAGATCCAAATAATTTTATCAAACAGCAAGAATGGGATCAACTTAAGAAAGAATTGTGCAAAGAAAATTTGATTGCTTTAAGGTATGTTTGGTATTACGAAGACCTATATATAGTTATTTTCGAGAATTGGGTCTCAAAATTTTTAAATGCTTTTGCGATTCACTATTATTTTTTTTGAGTATAGGTATTAGTGATAGAAAAATATCATTAAAAGAATAGAAATGCACTTTGCCAAAGAATTTTCTTGGCAGGCTTTAGATCGGTGCGCAACTAGTATATCAAATAACTTTTATTGTATAATATATAATACATAGTCATTAGTGAAGGATTCTTTATTGAATTTATTTTTATTCATAGGGCGCCCAACTCGATCTATAATTGAATTTGCTAGAAGACTTGCCAAAGAAACCGCTTTTAAATAAGCTTTGTTGTTTCAGCATATTTGTATTTTATGTTTTTGTTTTTAGCAATGTTTGAATTTAATTTACAAAATAGTTAATTTCACTTAATATAATTTCGCTCACAACTGACTTACACTCCTAACTAATAAGTTTAGAACTACTCAATAAATAATAAAAAAATGGGTTTTTTTAATGGTTAACTTTTTTATTAGACTATAAAAAATTATATACATTATATACAATTATTTACTAAAAAAATGATGAATTTTTATGGTTTGTTTTAATAAATTATTAGTGGATTTAATATGTGACATCTTTATAACCTTTTTTTTAATAATATAAGCTAAAATTATTAATACAAGATAAAAAATATTTTTTTATAAGTATATTGCACAAATTTTTTTTATTAAACATCATATATATTATATATAATATAATACAAAAAAGAATATTTCAAAATCTTGAAAAATTAAAAACTTTTAATAATAGTAAAGTTTTTTAATAAAAAATCGATATTTTTCATTAAAAAAATCAAATTATAAAGATAATTTATAATTCTTACCCATATAAAAACCTAAAAAAAATATTTATTAATATCTTGTGGGATAACCACGAGCTTTAATTAAAATTTCTATATGATGTACCATACTTGTAACAAGCTTTTGATAAATCTCACATAAAATTTCAAACCAGCATTCTTGAAAAAGTGTTTCCAATTCTCACAAATTTTTTGGATGGTTTTATTTAACTCGAATACGACATTCAAGTTCATCCCGTAGGTGTTCTGTAAGGTTAAGATTTGGGTTTTGTCTAGGCTATGATAGTAAACATATTGCTATTTCTTCAACAAAATTTTATGTTCTTATACTGATATGGATAGGCGCATTATCTTGCTGAAACAAATATTCATCATATTCTTCTTCAAACTCTTCTAAAAAAGGTATTACGTAATAACCAAGGATTTCTTCTATATCTCTTTCACTATTTATTTGACTATCTATTCTTACCAATAGACCTAATTCATGCTATGAAAAACACCTCACATCATAATACTACCTCCATCATATTTCAACTTACCTTATATTATTTTTCTTCTTGAAGACGCCAAATTCATCATTTTGATATAATGTAAATCTGGATTCATCACACTATATAACATTTTCCAGTTATTAATAGTCTATAAATGTCTTTTGCAAGCCTAATTTAATCATATTTTTCAGTTAGACTTACTAACATTAGGTTTTTTAAGAGCAGTTCAACTATTATATCCCATTTCATATAAGGTATTTTTATAGTATTTTTATATACTACTTTTCCTGTTGATTCAGCAAAAGTTTTTACTAATTTATCTGCTAAAACACGATAGTTTTGAGAAACAATAGTTTTAAGATGACATTTATCACGTTCTGTTAATATTTTTGGACGTTCACTTTGTGAAGCAACACTAATAGCACCTATTTCATTGTATTTTGATATAATATTATAGATTGTAGTTTTGCCATGACCTATTTTTTGGAAATAGCTCTTTCTAATTTACCAGCTTTATAGAAACCAATTATCATTTCACGTTCAAAATCTGTAAGTTCTCTTGTTTTAACCATTTTGTGAAAAATAAAAATTTATGATCGAAAAACGTGATCTATATAACAATCATTATTTATTGATAATTATATAATACAAATTTTAGGTTATACTGATACATTGGTATTTATTTATCACAATTTATTTGCAGATCTCAGGATGATCCTAAACTAATTGGCTGGAAGTGTACTTGTTACAATTTACTATAAGTCTTATTTATTATGCATAATCACATAATCATCAAATATGTTTGATATTAATATTATTCTAGATAAGATATTTAATAAGGTTATCATTATATCAGAATATAAGCAAAAAATGAGTGATTGTGATCAAACTGTAGTGTAATATAAAATTTCACAATATGCGTGATAATCATGATACATGACTTCAACCAATTTATTAATTTTTTTTTCATGTATTTGGTTATTGCTTAGTTTCCTTATGTATAGAGAGAAAGTTGATGAATTTACTTACGATAAAGTAAAGAAGCATAATTTGTATAAGAAAACCCTGATGTTGTTATTTAAAGATAATGATCAAGCTCAAATATGTCTAAATAATTTTAGGTTAGATATATTCTATGATACATTTTATGATATGCAATGCTGTAGGTTTAAGACTAGAATACGTTCTGGTCACTAAGACAATTTACATGACGTATTAATAACTTTTGAGTAGTTAGCTAATTTATGTATTGGTTGGTCAGAGTAGAGTTACATCTTCTCTCAAATGCTTTTGAACAGTTCAAGACTAGAATACGTTCTGGTCACCGAGACAATTCTAATTCATTTGCATATGAAGACAATGACCTTTTTAAAAGGGTATAATTTTGTTATAACAGTTGTAAAAGATAATAAAGAACATTCTGAATGCCTAGGATATTTTTGTGACTGTAGAGAATTTTATACTGAGAAACCAAGTAATTCTAGTATGAGCGCAATATCTATTATCTATCAGCAAATGTTTTGCAATAAAACCAGATTTTCTGACCCTTAAATAATAGGATTTGAGAAACCAGCTATTTACAAAAAATTACTAGAAGGAATTCTATTTTGTCCATATTTTGTTAACCTTAAGTTAGTACGTATTTTTGTATTTGGAATTGCAAAATCTAAGAATAATAAATGGGAATATGATGAAGTTTGGTTTAAATCAAGTTTTACATTTCAATTAGAAAAGCAATGTTGTTTATTTGTTCAAGAATTTGAAGAAGAATTATGTAAAGTAACTATTATACAAAAAATATAAATTAAAAAAATATATTATGAAAATATACCTGATTTAGTATAGGAAAAAATTTATAGTGAACAAAAACGAACTGCTAAATTAGTTTAATTCATGAAACTTACTGGAAGAACACTGTATAGAATTGACAATCATTTGACACAAAAATTGATTCACGATGCATCACCTTTTTATTCAATAAATGAATGAAATGATAATATACTTATAGAAAATGTTTTTTTATATCATCTTAAATGACGAACCAGCATTCATGTGGATTAGCACAATTTTTTAAGAAAGTGGCAAGAGCAGGGAACAATAATTGAATTATATAGCAATCTAAAACAGTTATATCCTACAAATTATCAATTAAGTGAATATGAATTAAATGCATAGAGAATAATGCTTCATAGTATAGGTTGTCATAATATTATATTTTTAAAACAGGAATCAAAAGTAAAAAAATTTCTAATTAAAATGATTTATTGTATTTTAGTATGAATTTTGAACTAGATCACCACATTCTACTATCAAATAGAATGCATTGAAACAATTATATGAACTTGGATTTTTGTTAGAACATCCATTAGATTTTTATGATTCATCTAAAAAGTTTTGGAATTGTTTTCAAAAAAGTTTGATGATCAATAAAAAAGGAGCTGATGGAAAGCAATAAATACTATCTATAATAGCAGATAATTTCAAGTATGATGATTTACAAAAACAATTATCAGTAATTACTAATAATAATAATTAGTCTTTATTTTCGTAATTATCACTAAATTATTTTTATATCAGATTTCAAATGATTTAATATCAAGAGCACGTAAACATTGTCATTTATATAGATCTGGCAATTCTTCAATGAAAAAACCTTCTTTTACACGTAAAAAACTATCTATTAAAAAACTACAAGAATTTGAAAATTTTATTAATAACAAAGCACATGTAATCATGAGTTCATATAAAACAGATAATAAAACTGACGCATTAGTTAAATACCTTCATAATACAAAATAAACACTTTAGGAAAAATTTCATGCTGAATTTCCTGATGGAATTTATCAAACAACTTTTATGACTAAATTACAAGGAAATAAATATATTTATAGAGAAAATCTAGGTGGCCTTTGTTTAACATGTAGTCATTATGAATATGAGATATTTGATGATATAAGAAAACTTATTAAAAATAAAATTATAGACATTTTAAAAAAGGTAAAACATAATCAATAAGTTATTTTTATATACATTCTTTGATATCAAACTATTTATTATTTTTAGAAAAAATTTCTTAATAATTTGGAAAAATTACAACAATTTTTAAAGTGAGATTATGAAGAAAATCTAATCATCAGTGATAAAGGAATAATTAAGCATAATTCATGTATTAGTTATTATTTACTATAAGCATTTAGAGTTTGCGAAGAACAACATACACATACGTTCCAAGAATATGCAAAATTATTTACTTTTTTTAAATGTCTTAAAGATCAGCTTTCTGCAGACTTACATGAAGATCTTGATGAATATCAGAATTATCTATTATATTTTCTTGCTTATCAAGCCTGTAAAGTTTATTTAAATGCCCAATTTAATGCCAATTGAGTTAGGCATTTGTAGATATACTGGGAGTTGCCTTCTTTATAATGTATTATCAAACTGAAAGGTTGAGGAAATTCTTTCTTGCAAGTTTGATCTGAAGCTAGAGGTCCTTGGCAATGTAAGTTGCAAGTGTGGATCTGATTCACAATAACTGCAGTGTAAAGTTCAGGTTTACATAAAGGATCCAGAACTGTTGAACATATAACATCTGCAGAGATCATATCTTCTATCGAGTTAGTTGTTCAATAGCAAATTATTCATTTCACTTTATTAAATCATTTAACAAAAATGATACATTGAATTTGTAATAAAAAAATCATAAAAAGTTAAAAATAATATTAATAAAAAAAGAAACATTTTTTTTCTTAAATAAAAAAAACTAAAAATTTAAACGATTCTAAAATTATCGTTGGTATCAAAAAATGTAAATTATATAATGTTAATTAAAAAAAATTAATCTTATAAACTATTAAAAAAAAAAAGGAAAAACAAAAATTCATTCTATTTCACCTTGTAGAATTTCTAATGAGTTTTCAGTATTTGAAAGAAGTATCACATTGACTTTAACCTCTAATGGAGCATTGATATCTAAACGTAGGATAGGATTCGCTTCAAGGGCGGTTAACAAACTAGAAAATACAGAACATCTTGACGTTATAGTTTGTTTCATATGAGCCAACATAGCTTGGGATCTCCTTGACAAAGACTTTCTGATCGTCTGATGAGTTGGTCTACTAACAGGTGTATAGCTGACATTATTTTGTCTATTTCACGATAGCGTTATCATTGAGGCATTTGTGTGGCTTTGGTTAGGATAACTAATTAACAAAATATCTTCTAATTTAAGAATGTGTTTATCCAAGACGTGTTTATCTGGAACAATCAAGGTATCAGGAGGAGGTTCGTAATCAATTATACTAACTAAAAGCGTAATGATTGATCTCTTCGTCTGATTTATGGCATTGATTTTGTTAGCAAGATAAGTATTGTCCAAATCATGTCTGACTTCATCAGTAAATTTAATAGGACGTAATATTGCGTAAACTTACATTCTGTAATATTACGAAAACTTACGAGACTGCCATAAGATTATGTAAATTGTATTTTGTAATATTCTGTAACATTACGATGTAGTACTACATAATATTATGAATGTAAACTATGCAAAAGTTTACGGTGTAATACTTTGTAACATTACGGTGTAATATTCTGTAAAACTTACGAAAATACAAGAATTTCAAAAGTTTACGGCGTAGTATTTTGTAATATTACGGTGTAATATTCTGTAAAACTTACGAAAATACAAGAATTTCAAAAGTTTACGGTGTAGTATTTCATAATATTACGGTGTAATATTCTGTAAAACTTACAAAAATACAAGAATTTCGAAAGTTTACAGCGTAGTATTTCGTAACATTACGGTGTAATATTCTGTAAAATTTACGATAATACAAGAATTTCG